TTGGATATATGACCATTTTGATCCCAGTATGTATATGGTATGTGAGAGAAGTTCAGCTTGATTGTAGATACTCAGTTGTCCTAGCAACATTTGATGGAAACCTGTTTTCCATATTGAATTGAGTTAGCAATCTTGTAATATCATTTGACCACAAAAGAAAAGGTTGATTTATGGAATTCAGTTCTATTTTTTTGTTGTTGGTAAGTCTATGTTTATACTAGTGACACAAATCTTGATTATGATTTCTTTGTAGTAACTTTTGAAATTGGAACACATGAATCTAGGTTCTTGAGGAATCGCCACACTGTCTTCCACATGGTTGAACTAATTTACACTCCCACCAGCAGTGTAAAAGCATTCCTATTTCTCCACATCCTCTCCACCATCTGTTGTCTCCAGATTTTTAAATGATCGCCATTCTATCTGGTGTGAGATGATATCTCAATGTGGTTTTGATTTTCATTTCTCTAATGACCAGTGCTGATGAGAATTTTTTCATGTGTTTGTTGGCCTCATAGATGTCTTCTTTAGAAAAGTGCCTGTTCATGTCCTTCACCCCTTTATTTCTTTTTGTTGTCTAATTGCTCTGGCTAGAAGTTCTAATACTGTATTGAATAGGAATGGTGAGAGAGGGCATCCTTATCTAGTGCCAGTTTTCAAAGGGAATGCTTCCAGTTTTTGCCCATTCAGTATGATATTGGCTGTGGGTTTGTCATAAATAGCTTGTATTATTTTGAGATACGTTCCATTGATACCTAGTTTATTGAGGGTTTTTAGTATGAAGAGCTGTTGAATTTCGTCGAAGGTCTTCTCTGCATCTATTGAGATAATCATGTGGTTTTTGTCTTTGGTTCTGTTTATGTGGTAGATTACATTCATAGATTTGTGTGTGTTGAACCAGCCTTGCACCCCCTGGGATGAAGTCTACTTGATCATTATGGATAAGCTTTTTGATGTGCTGTTAGATTCAGTTTGCCAGTATTTTATTGAAGATTTTTGCATCAATGTTCATCATGGATATTGGCCTGAAATTTTCTTTTTTAGTTGTGTCTCTGCCAGGTTTTGGTATCAGGATGATGTTGGTCTTATAGAAAGAGTTAGGGAGAATTCTCTCTTTTCGTATTGTTTGGAGTAGTTTCAGAAGGAATGGTACGTGCTCCTCTTAGTGTGTCTGGTAGAATTCAGCTGTAATCCAGTCTGGACCTGGTCATTTTTTGGTTGGTAGGCTATTAATTGCTGCCTCAACTTCAGACCTTGTTATTGGTCTATTCAGGGATTCAACTTCTTCCTGGCTTAGTCTTGGGAGTGTGTAAGTGTCCACAAATTTTCCATTTCTTCCAGATTTACTGGTTTATATGCATAGACTTGTTTGTAGTAATCTCTGATGGTAGTTTGTATTTCTGTGGAATCGGTGGTGACATCTCCTTAATCATTTTTTCTTGCATCTATTTGATTCTTCTTTCTTTGTAATTAGTCTGGCTAGTAGTCTGTATATTTTGTTAACCTTTTGGAAAAACAAGCTCCTGGATTTATTGATTTTTGAAGGTTTTTTGTGTCTCTATCTCCTTCAGTTCTGTCCTTATCTTAGTTATTTCTTGTCTTCTGCTATCTTTTGGATTTTTTTGTTTGTTTTGCTCCTCTAGCTCTTTCTTTTTTTTCTTTTTTTTTTTCTTTTTTTTTTTTTTGAGACGGAGTTTCGCTCTTGTTACCCAGGCTGGAGTGCAATGGCGCGATCTCGGCTCACTGCAACCTCCGCCTCCTGGGTTCAGGCAATTCTCCTGCCTCAGCCTCCTGAGTAGCTGGGATTACAGGCACGCGCCACCATGCCCAGCTAATTTTTTGTATTTTTTAGTAGAGACGGGGTTTCACCATGTTGACCAGGATGGTCTCGATCTCTTGACCTCGTGATCCACCTGCCTCGGCCTCCCAAAGTGCTGGGATTACAGGCGTGAGCCACCACGCCTGGCCTCCTCTAGCTCTTTCAATTTTGCCGATAGGGTGTCAATTTCAGATCTTTCCTCAGTTCACATATGGGTGTTTATTGCGATAAATTTTCCTCTAGACACTGCTTTAAATGTGTCCCAGAGATTCTGGTACGTTGTTTCTTCAATCATAATTTTTGTGGAACTTCTTTGCTTCTCCTTCATCTCATTGTTTATCCAGTCGTCATTCAGGAGCAAGTTGTGCAGTTTCCGTTAGTTGTGTGGTTTTGAGTGAGTTTCTTAATCCTGAGTTCTAATTTGATTGCACTGTGGTCTGAGAGATTGTTTTGATTTCCGTTCTTTTGCATTTCCTGAGGAGTGATTTACTTCCAATTATGTGTTCAATTTTAGACTAAGTGCAGTGTGGTGCTGAGAAGAATGTATATTCTGTGGATTTGTGGTGGAGAGTTCTGTAGATGTATTTTAGATCCACTTGATCCGGATTTGCATTCAAGTCCTGGATATCCTTGTTGATTTTCTGTCTTGTTGATCTGTCTAATACTGACAGTGGAGTGTTAAAGTCTCCCACTATTATTGTGTGGTAGTCTAAGTCTCTTTGTAGTTTCTTAAGAACTTGCTTTATGTATCTAGGTGTTCCTGTATTGGGTGCATATATATTTAGGATAGTTAGCTCTTCTTGTTGCATTGATCTTTTTACCATTACGTAATGCCCTTCTTTGTCTCTTTGGATCTTTGTTGGTTTAAAGTCTGTTTTATCAGAGACTAGGATTGCAACCCTGCTTTTTTTTTTCTCTCCATTTGCTTGGTAAATCTTCCATCCGTTTGCTTTGAGTCTGTGTGTGTCTTTGCATGTGAGATGGGTCTCCTGAATATAGCACACCAATGTGTCTTGACTTTTTATCCAATTTTCCAGTCTGTGTCCTTTGATTGGGGCATTTAGGTTGTTCTACATTTAAGTTAATGTTGTTATGTGTGAATTTAATCCTGCCATTTTGTTACAGGCTGGTTGATTTGCCCATTAGTTGATGCAGTTTCTTCATTGCATTGTTGAACCAAAATAATATTACCTGTGATGGGAGTCGCAAGAGGAATGCAACAAAAGGCTTTTCTACAACCTTTGGAATGCAAATTAGGAAATCTGGAACTAAGGCATAGGTTTCTCCTTAAGCCAAAATGCCCAATCTCTTTGCTGGGAGAAGACCTGTTATACAAATTAAATGCTGATGTAACTTTCTCCTGAGAGAAACAACTATGTCTATAGGTCCTTCTAGAGTAAGCAATGCAACTACTGATGTTACTCACTTCACCTAAGAAGAAAGAGGAAGCTCCCTTTTTCCCAGAAGTCTGTGAGAGAATGAGTAATTGTGAATGGGCAGGTCGGATCCCAGGAAAGGCAAAGAATACACAGTTGATGCATATAGAAATAAAAGAAGGAGCTACCGTGCCTGGGGAAAGAAAACCAAACAAATTTTAAAAACCTGAAAACAACTAGTACCCATTAATAAAGGAAGGTTTTGACAGAATACAGCATGTCTTGCAAAAATTTCTGAAAAGTGCACTGATCCATCCTTGAAGATACCCATGCAATACCCCTATCCTGCTTGTAAAGAAGCCATGCTTCAACAAATATCAATTTGTTCAAAACCTGAGAGCCATCAATAAAATAGTCCAGGATATTCATCCAATGGTGCCTAATCCATGTTCTGTACTGACTACTATGCATGGAAATTACACCAGTATCCCTAGCTGTGCATTGAAAGAAGCTAAATATTGAGAACCCATAGTATATTGCTGTTGTCTCCAATATCCTTGTCAATCTTAAATGATTCCCACTATCACCATTCCCCACTATATGTATTCCATATCTTGAACAACAGGCAGTGGTGGGGAATGCCCTGGTTGCGTTCTTCACTGCTGTAGAGGACCCTGTGGACATAGGCCTCCTCCTCTAGAGCACCCCTACCAAGAGCTGGGCTACAAGGGGAGCCTGTGAACTCAGAGCCTCATCATGAATTCTACATGCCCAAGGAAAGCAGCTCCCTGCTTTTTTGGTGGGGCTGGAAATTCCCTTCTTATATATAAAAATGTGTTTGTGGCTCAAGCCTGTAATCCCAGCACTTTGGGAGACCGAGGCAGGTGGATCACGAGGTCAAGAGATTGAGACCACCCTGGTCAACATGGTGAAACCCCGTCTCTACTAAAAATACAAAAAAAAAATTAGCTGGGCATGGTGGTGCGTGCCTGTAAT